TGTGCCACTCCACGATCAGCCCGCGAGTCAATCTCGTGACTCCTGTCCGATACACCATTGGTGTCTACCAGCTCGGACATTCCAATGTCCAGCACGCTTACCGTCTCGGTCCAGTGCTCTCGCCAATAGTGCTTATAGCTCCTAGCAGAGGTGGGTTCATGACTCGCCAAAGCTCAACCGGGAGACGTGCGCGTAGCGCCCAAGGTCTTTGACCCTCAATCAATCCATAGCTCATGGTGTTTTTACCATGTCATTCCTAGGATGAGGTCATACCTTGCATCCAAGTCTAAGACTAGACAGCGCTCCACGCTATCAAAGTCAAGGAACTTGACTCCGAGGTCCACAGGGACTTTCGGAGCGTGACACGTGTCCCCGTCGCTAGGCAAACAGTGACGATGTCACCCAAACGCGCTTTCAGCGCCTCAGCATACTGCTGACTTCCTTCCATCGTGGAGCGTCGAGCATAATTGCCCGACGCCCCGGAATCGATGAGGATCTTCCATGGCTTCTCGAAGCCTTTTACGGTCGACTCCACGACCAGCAAGCCCGGCTTGCATACACGTTCCGTGTCTAAGAGCACGGAGCTCTTCGGGGCTGGGCCCTCTTGACCTCTACCTCCCTGAGGCTCAACAGGACTCAGATCTCCTCCAGCAGGTCGCCCCGCGCCTACTGGGTGGTGTCGTTTCCCCGCGACCAACTAGACTGGTAGGCATTGGGGCGATGGTTCGAAGAAACTTGACGCGCCTTGCGCAGGGGGAAGCCGTTTCGAAGGTGACGGGTGTCTTCACAGACAAACACCGTCGTATATTTGTGTGCAGCTCGGCAGCTCGGAGCTCTGCTCCCTCGCTGAGATCTATGGGCACAGACCCGCTCGACGAGCTGTTGGAGTGTGCATTCCAGCCAAGTCGTGCCGACTTGAAATTTATATCGGCATTCAATGCCACATTCACCGCTTCTTCAAATGAAGACGGATGCACATGAAGACTTCTATTCTGGCCATGCCAGTGCGGAGGCCTTCCATAAAGACGGTCACTGTGGCCGCCTCCG